ACAGTGGCTCACAGCTGTAATTGCAGCCAATTACAGCTAGGAATATAGGAGGCCAAGACTGGAGGGTCACTGGAGCCCAGTTCCAGACTAGCCTGCGCAATATAGTGAGACTATACAAAATTCAAAAAAAATTTAACTGGGCATGGTGGTGGGTGCCTGTAATCCCAACTACTCAGGAGGCTGAGGCAGGAGGATTACCTGAGCCCAGGAATTCAATGCTGTGATTGTGCTACTGCACTCCTGTCTGGGCGACAGAACAAGACCCTGTCTCCATAATAAATGTTTTAAAATTATTTGACTGTTAACAGCTCTTCTAGAATTTGTTTTCTGATTTTTACCAGAAAACCCCCATGGGGGGAATAATTCTTCAAACCTCTCCTTGTTAACACAAGGTGGAATGTAAGTAAAATAGGTAGATATGTCTTTTGATGCTCAGCCCAGTGACTGTGATGTCATAGCTCTGGTCTGGAATATTCCTAGAATCTGAATCTGCAGTTGCTTTGTCTGGGCACAGTGGCTCATGCCTGTAATCCCCGCATTTTAGGAGGCCAGGCAGGTGGATCACCTGAGGTGAAGAGTTCAAGACCAGCCTGGCCAACATGGTGAAACCTCATCTCTACTAAAACTACAAAAATTAGCCAGGCGTGGTGGTGCGCGCCTGTAATCCAGCTACTTGGAAGGTTGAGGCATAAGAATCACTTGAACCCAGGAGGTGGAGGTTGCAGTGAGCCGAGATCCCGCCAGTGCACTCCAGCCTGGGCGACAGAGTGAGACTCTGTCTCAAAAATACATGCATGCATACTTACATACATACATACATACATAAAATAAATTTGAGGAACAGGAAGAAAACAAAAACAAAAAGCAACCAATCTATTACCTTCACAACAGGCTGTGAAGTCTGCAAAGCTAGTCTCATGCTAAAGTTTCAACAGGGACTTGGCTTCTGAAAAAGTGGGTGTTGAAAATTAGAGATGATACAGTTAGATTGTGAGGACTTCTTAACACTTGCACTCCTAGTTCACAAACTACTATGTTTCCTCATCTTTCTGGGACTCCCTAGGCAAGGACTCCCTGAGAATGGATAGCCTTGGGCAGAACTGTGAAGTCATCACAGATGGCCCCTCATTTACTCCTTTCTCTCCCCAGAAGTTCCTACCCTAGTCAGACCTCCAGGGTTCTTATCTTCTGATCCATCCGGAAAGAGGTTTAAAGTAGGAATTCTCAATTATCACTTGAAAAGTGCTATAGAAGAATGGCTGGGAGAGGTGGTGTGCCTATAGTTACAGCTGCTTGGGAGACTGAGGCAGGAGAACTGCTTGAGCCCAGGAGTTTGAGTCCAGTCTGGGCAGCATAGCAAGACCCCATCTCTAAAAAAATTTTTTTAGGTGCTGTAGAAGAAAGTGAAGATTAAACCAAAGGAATGAATCTCTGAGTGGTAGAACTTAAGGGACTTTGATGAGTGTGAGAGGTCTCTGAGTGAGAGGGTCTTCCCAGTGCCTGGAAGCTCAGTCTTTGATGGCAGCCTTCTATAATACACCCCGTAAGAACTGACCTGCTCTTCTAAACTTTTCAAGGTGGGTCTTTCCACCAATGCAGTTTGTTTACGTTTAAGTAAATGGTACAAAAATCATCATGTAATTGTTGGCTGGGTGCAGTGACTCACACCTGTAATCCCAGCACTTTGGGAGGCTGAGGCAGGTGGATCACCTGCGGTCAGGAGTTCAAGGCCAGCTTGGCCAACATGGTGAAATCCCGTCGCTACTAAAAATACAAAAATTAGCCAGTCATGGTGGTGCACGTCTGTAATCCCAGCTACTTGGAAGGCTGAGGCGTAAGAATCACTTGAACCCAGGAGGTGGAGGTTGCAGTGAGCCAAGATCCCGCCAGTGCACTCCAGCCTGGGTGACAGAGAGAGACTCCATCTCAAAACAAAACAACACCTGTTACATAACACACTTCAATGATCTGTGACTAGTATAGCTTAAAGAAAGCCAAGTGAAATAAACTATAAAACTATACGCCTATGGAATCTTTTGATTCAGAGGCAGGTACATACAAAAATCAAAACTGGCCAGGTATTAAATATTACATTGAGCAAAGGTAAAGTGCTTTAATAGACATGTATAATAAAAATTTCAGATCCCTAAGTAGAAGACATTCAGCTTCAGTCTTCAGCAAGTGGTACCCTCAATGCCTGCCTCTGTGTGTGTGTGTGTGTGTGTGTGTGTGTGTGTGCGCGCGCGCGCTGCACTCTTGTGGAAAAAATTTGTTTCAGGACTTTTCCTTCTTTGGTGTTCATGTCGTGAACAACAAAGTAAGATTGATTTTTTGTTGTTGTTGTTGTTGTTTCTGAGACAGAGTCTTGCTCTGTCGCCCAGGCTGGAGTGCAACAGCACGATCTCTGCTCACTGCAGCCTCCGCCTCCCAGGCTCAAGGGATTCTCCCCTCTCAGCCTCCTGAGTAGCTGGGATTACAGGCCCCCACCATCATGCCCGGCTAATTTTTGTATTTTTGTAGAGACAGTGTTTCATCATGTTGGCCAGGATGGCCTGAACTCCTGACCTCAGGTGATTCGCCTGCCTCTGCCTCCCAAAGTGCTGGGATTACAGGTGTGAGCTACTATGCCCAGCCTTGATTTTTTTTTTTTTTAAGACAGGGACTTGCTCTGTTGGACAGGCTGGAGTGCAGTGGCACAATCTTGGCTCACTGCAACCTCCGCCTCCTGGGTTCAAGGGGTTCTCCTGCCTCAGCCTCCCGAGTGGCTGGGATTGCAGGCACATGCCACACGCCCGGCTAATTTTTGTATTTTTAGTAGGGACAGAGTTTCACCATGTTGGCCAGGCTGGTCTCGAACTCCTGACCTAGGCCTCCCAAAGTGCTGGGATTACAGGCATGAGCCACGACACTCCAGCTTGATTGATTTTTGGAACACCTTATTGCCCACACTGAAGTGCAATGTCACCACCACGGCTCCCTACAGCCTCAACCATTTGTGCTTAAGTGATCCTCCCATCTCAGCCTCCCATGTAGGTGACCACAGGTGTGTGTCACCACACCCAGCTAATTTTTTTTATATATATCTACGGAGTCTCGCTCGGTCACCCAGGCTGGAGTGCAGTGGTGCGATCTCGGCTCACTGCAGCCTCCTTCTCCTGAGTTCAAGTGATTCTCCTTCCTCAGCCTCCTGCGAGTAGCTGGGACTACAGGCTCGTGCCACCATGCCTGGCTAATTTTTTGCATTTTCAGTAGATACAGGCTTTCACCGTGTTACTCAGGATGGTCTGGATCTCCTGACCTCATGATCTGCCTGCCTCGGCCTCCCCAAGTGCTGGGATTACAGGCTTGAGCCACCGTTCCCGGCCTAATATTTTTATCATGTATAGAAATGGGGTTTCTCCATGTTGCTCCAGGGTGGTCTTAAACTTCCTGGGCTAAAAAGATCCTCCTTTTGGGAACCTAAACCCCCCAAAGTGCTGGGATTACAGGCATGAGCCACCGTGCCCCACCAAGATGTTTTTGAGACAGGGTCTTGCTCTGTCAGGCTGGAGCGCAGTGGTGATCATAGCTCACTGTGGCCTCAAACTTCTGGGCTTCAGCCATCCTCCTGCCTCAGCCTCCCAAGTAGCTGGGACTAAAAGTCTTTGCCACCATTCCTGCCTTATTTATTTATTTAGAGATGGGGTCTAATTATGTTGCCCTGGCTGGCCTCGAACTCCTGGCCCCAAGCCTCATGCAATCCTCCCACCTAGGCCTCCCAAAGTGCAGGGATTACAGGCATAAACCACCATTCTAGGCCTAAGTTTATTTTATTTTTTTTTAGCAAAAATCTGTGGAGGAGGAAACATCTCCCAGTTTGCTCTCTTCCGAGTCTGCTTCTTACATGAGATGGGGTTAAATACATTTTAGGGTAAAAGCAGAATGGTAGGATGTTTTAAATGTACGAATACATAAAAATGGAACAGAGTCTTTGAAAAGGGAGACAACAGAAACGTTAACAACAAAGGGAGTGAGCAGAATGAAGAATGGCATAAAAGACCAAAACCCCTTCTGAACAGCTGGAATATCACACCAGAGTACTAAACACTGGTAATGCCATCAGGATATGATTATTCATCATGATTATTCACTCACCTCGTAAAAAATTTTTTATGGTGGCTGTGAAATTTGAACCGATACAGTGGGGTGGCTGTGGCAGGGAAAGCTGGTGACACAAATCATGCTAATGGCAAGGCCAGGTGAGTGCTTAAATGGTGTCGTCTTTATAAACCTTGGCACATACGTTTGGGTACTGTAAGCTTGGGGCAATTCTACTGGCATTTCCCTACATTTATTACCCAGTCCCTCCCCTGTCCCCCAACAGCTGCAACTTTAAAAACAATCTTTCCAAACTAGCTTTGAAGAGCTGCACTTTTCCTTCGTATGTACGTTGCTTAAGTACGCTGATAGCAACGTAATATGACAATTCAAAGGGAATCCCGTCTTAGGGTTTTCTTCTGGGGAACTCTCCCTGCATGTGCGGATTAGGGAGCTCGGAAAGCCCGTTTCAACTTTTCAGTTCCGACTCCCGAGTCACTACTCTGCCCTGTACTGTCTGGAGACTTAACGGGAGCTAATGCGAGGCAGTGAATTCTCCGCTCTCTAGTTTTCCAATTCTTCTACGGTCTTCAAAAAAGGTTGTCTGCTCTTGAGCAGCGCCTAAACTGAGAAGCGGAAAAGGCGAGACCCGCTAAAGGCGGACGGGTGGCCGAAGCGGAAACCCAGTGAAGAGCAGGGACTGCCCTGGAGAGCATAGAAAGCGAAGGTTGCGGGGGAAAGCAGCGCCCCTCCAAGGAAACCGACACCGCCCCGCCACGCCAAGCCAAGCCAATGGGTGCCACCAAGCAGCGCCGGGAACGCGCGCCGACGCCCCGCGCTCCGCCGGCGTCCGCCCGTCCCCGCGCGCCCCCTCGTACCCCACGCGCGGGGGGCGGGGCCGGCGGGGGCGCGCGCGGGGCCGCGGGCAGGGGGGCGGGGCGGCAGAGCTCGGCGGCTGGGACTGGAGGACAGCGGCGGCGGAGGCGACTAGCGGCGGCGGGAGCGGCGCCGAGAGGCCGTGCGGGACACGGGCGCCAGGACCGGCCGAACGCAGAGGTAACGCAGGACGGAACAGGCGGCCGGGGAGTGGGCGCGGGCTCGCTGAGCCCCGAAGGCGAGTGGCGGAGGCCGCTCGCCCGGGGCGCCGACGCCGCTCCCTGAGAGGAGGGGGCGGGGCGCCCGGGTCCCCGGAGGTGGCGCCTTTTGTCTGCCTGCCCCGACCGCTCCGCCCCCCTCCCTTCCCCTCCCCTGCGACCTAGCCCCCTGCCCTTCTGGCGGACTCCTCCTCAGGGGCCCTCCGGCGCGCGCGCTCCCGCCCTTGTTTTGTTTGGACTTGGGGGAGGAGGGGGAGCTCTTCCCTGGCCGTGCGACCCTGCGTCCCAGCGCGCCTGCGTCGGCGTCCTCCGCCTGCCCCGATTGGCTGAGGGCTGCGCATGCTCCGAGGCCCGCCGCGGTCCGGCGTCCGCCCGCGCCCTCCCCTCACCCCACTCTCTCAGCGGTTTTCGGAGCCGGTTCGAAAGATGCCGGCGGCGGTGACTGGCTGCGGCGGGCCCGCCCCCCGGGTTCTCCGCCCCCGCCGCCGCCATTACGGAGCTCCCAGTGGTGAGTGTGCGGAGCGCTGAGGCTCGCGTTCCGCCGCTGCTTCCGTCGCCGGGGCAGGCGCCGCGGTGTCCCTGCCGAGCGTGAGCCCCGAACTGTCACCGCGCCGATCCCCAGCCTCATCCGTCGGTGTCCGCGGTCCGAGCTTTCTCCGCCTCGCTGGCGGCCCGCGCTCTCCCCCGCCGTGCGCGTTCGCCGCTGTGGCCTGTAGCTGCCTCGCCTCGCCGCTTTGTCTCCGCTGCTCTTGCCGTCCTTCCCGCGGCCCTCTGCGGGCGGGGCTGTTGGCTGTCGCTTTGCTGCTCCGCGACGGCGGCCTTGAGTCTTGCTCCCCCGGTGGGAAACATAGAACTGGTTACTGGCCACCTTAGGCGGTGGGGTTTGAATGAGAGCAGTGCCTCGGTAGGTCGTCAGAAAGTTACAGTCGCCCATCTGAGCGTTTGTAAGAGATGGAGGCAGGAGTGGTGAGGTGAGAGCCCCAGATCTGAGGGTTGGTACTGAATTGACAGCTGTGATCGGGGACAGCCACTTAACCTTTTTGAGAAAGAATTCTCTCCCGTACGGAGACCGAACCGGGTGAACTGTGCTGCCGCCTCCGCGTGCACGTTCTCTGTGTTATTGCGCTTCCTGACTCTGCATTGCATCGAAAGTGAGAATCCAATTCGAAATAACGTCTAAAAATCGCCTGCGGCTTTTTGAGCACGCTGTCTTGTCTTAAGAGTGAAATTAGACGTGACTAGTCATTTTTGAAAGATGCTTTAATTTTGTTTAACCTGGCATAGGCAAAAAACTTACTAGCTTTTAAATTTTTCATTGCTCTTCTCAAAAGTTTAGTGTAATTTGTTTCAAAATAGAAGTAACATTTTAAAATTTGCTGGGTTGGTTGGTTGGTTTTGGCTTTGTTTTTAAGCTTACTTGGAAGATGGTAGGGCTGAAAGTTAGTGAAGAAAGTATGCTGAACTCTCCATATCCAGATGAAAGTTTCAACTCCTTACCCAGTTAGATTGTGATTTTGTTGAGAGGAGACACTCTAGTGTCCTTAGCATCTATGCCAGAGACAGACACCGAGTATATGCTTGCTTACATAACTTAAATTTGAAAATGAAAAACAAATGGTGCCAGCAATCAAATTACAGGCATTCTTTTTGTGACATGACTCGTTAAATCTGAGTATAATGAATGACTTTAGATTGGGAACAATGTGAGGTGTTCAGTGCATTACTAATAACATGTATTACATATATTTTATGGTAAAATGTGAAATTATAATACTTTCCCTAAAATGCATATTATCAAGGGTATCAGTAAACTGAAATACATTGTTAAACTCCTCGCTTTTCTGCCGCTTTCTCTTAATGTAGAGGGAATAAATTAAAACTGAAATTTGGGCTTTTTATTTCTACAATCCTTTTTTTTCTTGCTTGCATTCAAATAATTTAAAGCCAGGCATGGTGGCTCACACCTGTAATCCTAACACTTTGGGAGGCCAGAGAGGAGGATCTCGAGTCCAGGAGTTAGAGACCAGCTTGGGCAACATAGGGAGACCCTGTCTCTACAGAAAATAGAAAAACTGTCGGGTTGTCGTGGCGCATACCTGTAGTCCCAGCTACTCAGGTGGCTGTGGTGGGAGGAGATCCCTTGAGCCCAGGAGGTCGAGGCTACAGTGATCCCTGGTCATGTCACTGCACTCCAGCCTGAGACCTTGTCTCAACCGATTTAATTTAAGTATTTCCCTTGGCAAAAAACAAATCTTTGTAGTTGTTCAAACACTAACTTTAAACAAACTGATGCTCATAAGAGGACCATGTAAACCACAGGTAAACTCAGACTGGTTTTGGCACACATAAGAACCAAGATGAAAAACATGAATAGGTCGGACGCGGTGGCTCACGCCTGTAGTCCCAACACTTTGGGAGGCCGAGGTGGGTGGATCACGAGGTCAGGAGATCGAGACCATCCTGGCTAACACGGTGAAACCCCGTCTCTACTAAAAATAGCCGGGCGTGGTGGCGGACCCGGACGCCTGTACTCCCAGCTACTCAGGAGGCTAAGGCAGGAGAATGGTGTGAACCGGTAGGCGGGGTTTGTAGTGAGCCAAGATCGCGCCACTGCACTCCAGCCTGGGCAACAGAGTGAGACTCCGTCTCAAAAAAAAAAAAAAAAAAAACACAAATAAGTTTCATTTGTTCATCCTTTAGTTTAACAAATATTAATTGAGCATCTATTCTGTGCCTGGTATGTTCTCAGGCATCAGGTATGCAGCAAGTGAATCAGATCAGATCCCTGCCAGGAACAAGTGTGGCAGCCTAAAAATCTGATCATTCACAAATGCAATAGTAAAAAGTTTAGTTAATAGGTACACTGGGTCAAATGCGGTGGCTTACACCTGTAACCCCAACATATTGAGAGGCCGAGGCAGGTGGATCGCTTGAGCCCAGGAGTTTGTGATCAGCCTGGGCAACATGGCAAAACCCTGTCTATACAAAAAAGAGAAAAATTATCTAGGCATGGCGATGCATGCCTGTAGTCCCAGCTACTAGCGAGACTAAGCTGGGAGAATTGCTTGAGCCTGGGAGGTTGAGACTGCAGTGAGCTGTGATACTGCAACCTGGGCATCAGAGTGAGACCCTGTCTCAAAACAAACAAAAAAAACAGGTACAGTGATGTTAGCAGTGTGAATTAACCTTGCATATACTTAGCTCTGTAATGAACAGTGAATTTATTAAGTAGCCAATTAACCCAACTATTCTAAAGCAAGTACTACAGGTTGAAGCTTTGAAGTTATGTGACTTTGACTTTTATTAAGGAAATGCAGAGCTGAGGCTAACATCTTTTTTTTTTTTTTTTTAGACGGAGTCTCACTCTGTCACCCGGGCTGGAGTGCAGTGGCGTAATCTCAGCTCTTTGCAACTTCCGCCTCCTGAGTTCAAGTGATTCTCCTGCCTCAGCCTCGCGTAGTAGCTGAGACTAACCCAATATTCTAAAGAAAGTACTACAGATTGAAGCTTCAAAGTTCTACAACTTTTACTAAGGAAATGCGGAGATGAGGCTAACATCTCTATTTTGTTGAGATGGAGTGTTGCTCTGTCACCCAGGCTGGAGTGCAGTGGCATGATCTCAGCTCACTGCAACCTCCTCCAGGTTCAAGTGATTCTCCTCCCTCAGCCTCCGGAGTAGCTGGGACTACAGGCGTGCGCCACTGCAACTGGCTAACTTTTGTATTTTTAGTAGAGATGGGGTTTCACCATGTTGGCCAGGCTGATTTCGAACTCCTGACCTCAGGTGACCCCTGTCTCAGCCTACCAAAGTGCTGGGATTACAGGCATGAGCCACTGTACCCGGCCCTAACATCTCTCAATATTTGTCCCAAATAACTGGGTTTTAAGTGTTCTTCAGACATAATGAATATAGTATTAAGTACTACATTCTTGAACTTGAGTACATACTTGAACCTCCGCCTCCCAGGTTCAAGTGATTCTTCTGCCTCAGCCTCCTGAGTAGCTGGGACTACAGGCGCACACCACCACGTCTGGCTAATTTTTGTATTTTTAGTAGAGACGGGGTTTCACCATACTGGCCAGGCTGGTCTTGAACTCCTAACTTTGTGATCCATCAGCCTCGGCCTCCCAAAGTGCTGGGATTACAGGCGTGAGCCACCATGCCTGGCCCTTTTGTGTGTGTGTGTGTGTTTTTTTAATAATAATAATTATTATTATTACTATTATTTTGAGGCAGGCTCTGCTCTGTCAGCTAGGCTTGGAATGCAGTGCTCGATTCATATCACTGCATCCTAAACCTTCTGGGCCAAGCAATCCTCCCAATCTCAGCTTCCCAAGTAGCTGGGACTGTAGGCAACATGCCACCATTCCCATTTTGTAATTTATTTTTTAGAGACAAGGTCTGTATTGCCCAGGCTGGTCTTGAACTCCTGGGCTCGAGTGATCCTCCTACCTTAGCCTCCAAAGTGCTGGGGTTACAGGTGTGAGCCACAACACCTGGCCTGTTTTAAATTTTAATTTGTTTACTTTGGGTAAAGACCAGGTCTAATGTTGCCCAGGCTAGTTTTGAATTCCTAGCCTCAAGGGATCCTCCACCTCTGCCTCCAAGTGCTGGAGTTGCAGGCATGAGCTACTGGTCCAAATGGGAAAATATTTTTTAAAGATTCCTATGAAGCGGATGCTCCTGAAGGTGTTGACTTCACGGTAGCATTTTCAGCCTAGCAAGTGTTATCGTGGATTAAGAAAGATGAATTCATTAGCAAATATAACTTTACTAAGGATAATCTGATTGTGATACTGTTTTATTTCCTGTATCATGTTTGCATGTAAAAATAACCAGCAGATTTGCATAAGGCTTTTATGATTAAGAAAAATAGGCCGGGCGTGGTGACTCACCCCTGCAATCCCAGCACTTTGGGAGGCTGAGGTGGGCAGATCATCTGAGGTCAGGAGTTCGAGACCAGCCTGACCAACTGGTGAAACCCCATCTCTACTAAAAACACAAATTAACTGGGCATGGTGCGGCATGCCTGTAATCCCAGCTACTCAGGAAGGTGAGGCAGGAGAATCCCTTGAACCAAGGAGGCAGTGGTTGCAGTGAGCCGAGATCGTGCCACTGCACTCTAGCCTGGGCAACAGAGCAAGACTCCGTCTCAAAAAAAGAAAAAAAAAATTTAATATTAATGGATATCTAGTTAACTACGTGTGAGTGTGTTACACTGCACTGAATTCTTTCAGCTGACTGAAAGATTTGCTTGCAGCTGACTGACAGTTGACAAGTCTGTTATTGCTCTTGGTGTTCCCATAAAGATATTTTCTCTATAAATGTGAATGCATCCTCTGTGTTTCAATTTTCTGGATTTATCCTAGTTATTGTAGGTTGGGACCGTTATTTGCCAAGTGGAAAGCTCTTAAATTCTAAGACAGGTTAGAGCTTAATGTAGAAGTTGAATGACTGTCATTCCCCCACTCATTGTTAATAGTTCATTAGCACAGAGATCTAAACACTTAAGTGGCCTTTTTAAATAGAGGAGTTTTTGTATAAAATGTCATTGAGTCTTAGATGAGATTTTGGGGAAGAGGGGGTGTTAGTGATCAGGTAAACTTGGTGACTGCATGGGTTTTTGATCTTTGAATATTATTATATTATTCTGTATTAGTTTTCCTGCATTAAAAAGATGACAGGCTTAGAAGCATACGTTTATTCTCCTAGGTGATGGTCTAAATTTGCTTCTCTGGGTCTGGAAGTTATTAGAATGTTGGGTTGTTCAGCAGTATTTTTGCCCTTGTGTTTTCCCTTAAAGAGGAAAAAAAAGTACTTTTCTAATAGAGATAGAGTTTAAGATTACAGTTAATTTCCCTACCCTTTTGAGAACAGTGACAACAAAAGCCTTCTCTTTGTAAACTGATCTTTGACTAACATTTGACTGTTCCTCAGTCTCTCTATTCTGTCCTCCTCAGTTCCTGATGGTGGCAGGAGGGATGGGCTAGTTCCTTACAAGCTGCCTTGCCCTTGTCTTTGTTCATGCGGAAGGTGCAACAGCTGCTGTGGCTTATGCATTCGTCTTAGTTGCTGCTTTATGTAGTCTATATTTTAGTAGTTTTATCTTTCTGAGTAACCAAATCATCTGTCACTTAACTATACATTTATAGTTATTTTTTTCCCTTTTGGATGTGTATTAAATTTAGAAGTTTTAGTTTAGTTTTGTTTCTGTTAATCTTCACACCAGGTCTTTTCTGTGCTTTAGGTTGATTCTTCACTGCACTGAAACCATTAGGAAAAATCCTTGTGGTTAACAGCAGAGGCTTCAGAGTGTAACCTGTACTCGGGCCTAGAAATTATTTAAAATGGCGACTGATACGTCTCAAGGTAAACTCGTCCATCCTAAGGCACTCCCACTTATAGTAGGAGCTCAGCTGATCCACGCGGACAAGTTAGGTGAGGTAGGGGCTGACACATTCTTGAAGCTCACTCTTGGATCAATCCCTGACTTCAGGCCCTGCTGGGTCCTCCTTCTTGGTACATGCTCCTTCCCTTACTTTGGGGAGTCTAGGTTGTGAATTTGAAACAAAATCAGATTCTTTTCATCTTCCCTTTCCCCTCAAATTCCTGAGAAAACCTCCAACCTTCTAAATTTATAGCAAATCAACTATAATTATGTGTTTCCATTTGAAATTCAAGCTAAAATAACATACTTTAAAAAGTATATCTTAAAAATCATATTTCACTTCAAAAAAACTTGTTAAAAGTAATTTGCATCAGATCCTGGAGTCGACTTGAAGAATTCTCCTACATCTTCTGACACCCACTTAGGCCCTTTGAGAAAGAGATAAAACAGAATTTTTTAATGCATGTTTGATTATGGCCATCTCTTTTCTTAGAAGGTAGAAGATAGCACCATGCCGATTCGTCAAACTGTGAATTCTACCCGGGAAACTCCTCCCAAAAGCAAGCTTGCTGAAGGGGAGGAAGAAAAGCCAGGTAAAGTAAAATGGTGACACAACTTAAAACATCAAAAGTTATACTGCAATTTGGAGTGTCCCATAAATTCCTTTGAACTTAATTATTCTTTTTTCATGGCTAAGTATTTTGGGGAAACATTTAGAGAGAGAATCAGTAGCTATTGGTATGTCATTGCCAGACCATGAGGACAAAGTAAGATTTCATCTTCTCTGTAAAGATTTTTGGAAGGTGAAAATGATATGTTGGAATTAAAAACAGAAAAATGATTGGGGATGACAGGAATGGCCAAAGAGTAGCATTCTGGACATAAAGTGTCATGGGGATGAATGCAGTGTGGGAGAATGGAAAACGTGGGCCTTTAGGATAGACGTGGCAAGTTCATCCAGAAGTCATCTGGAGGCCTTAAGAGAAGCAAATGGTGATCTGTTGATTTGTAACAGGTATCGGTAGAGAAAAGTCAGTGGTGGGAGCATAACAAATGGAAAGAAATATAAACCCATCAGTATGGAGTGCTGGTGCTCCTTTATGGCGTCTATAACCATCTCTTCTCCTTTTCCCGTCTATTTTTCTTCTCATGATCTTTTTGGTTTTTTTCTTTGTCTTTTCCCTTTTTGCCTTTTTCTCTTGCCTTTTATCTCAAGTTTTTCAGGGATGAGCACACTGTGCTGCCTCTGTTGTGGCTGTTAGAATCAATTATTTGCTGACTAGCATGTATTAGGAATAGAGGGCCGGGCACAGTGGCTCAAGCCTATAATCCCAGCACTTTGGGAGGCCAAGGCGGGTAGATCACCTGAGGTCAGGAGTTCGAGACCAGCCTGGCCATCATGCTGAAACCCCATCTCTACTAAAATTACAAACATTATCTGGGCATGGTGGTGCATGCCTGTAATCCCTGCTACTCAGGAGGCTGAGGCACAAGAATTGCTTGAGCCCAGGAGGCAGAGATTGCAGTGAGCTGAGATCACGCCATTGTATTCCAGCCAGGGCAACAGGGGAAACTGTTCTCAAAAAAAAAAAAAAGGAATAGAAAATACGTGCATCCTTGTTTCCTGTATCCCTTGGTGCATCAGGACAGACATCAATAATGAGTCAATATACTCTTTTTTCTGGCTGAGCCTGGATTTTTTTCTCTAAATCTTTCGATGAATGCTGTAAGCAATTTGGGCACCCTAACCTAAGGCAGTTAAGAAACATGAGAATCCGAATATTTGAAAAAGTAAATGGGTGCTGGTGAGTTGAAGATAGGTTATCTTGTCCAGCAGTGGGATAAGCCGCTTGGTGGTCCATCTTAATCTATGTTTAACAGCCAGCTGAAGCCACTAAATCACTAATAACATCAGTTTTCAGAATATGTGCCAGAGGGTTCAGAGGTAAAGTATTAGAAAAGTCAACCAAGAGTTTATGAAGAAACAGTGTCACTTCACAAGTTGTATGTTTGTTTAATCTTCTCTCTATCCCATTTTATACATAGTATTTTGTACACAGAAATTAGACTTCACTCATTTTAAATTTTATAAACTCTACATTTTACCCAGAAACAGACAGTAGTTCAGTGAGTTGGAAACAGTCTTATACAAACTACATATTCAATATTCATTGAGTGACTGAACTTTATTAAGCCATAACTCTTGAGCAGTTACTCTTGAGAAGAGAAAATAATGTAAAATTAAATTTATAAGTCTTATTACAGTAAAACCCGTGAATGATTCTTAGCTTTTCATCTTTTTTAGAATAAGACAAAGTATAAATAAACATGACTAACTAATAGTAAATTCTTACCCATGCAGCCATTTAGGTCAAGTTGTTGGTGTGAGGGGCAGTACAAGATATATCATGATGAAAAATACATTTTATTTTGGAAAACCTAAATGCAGTTACTGTCTTTATCCCCAGATACCATTGTTACAGTGAAGTTCTATGCATAATACTTTGTGATCCTAAGCATATGGAAAACAATTTTAGAAGCAGAGAAGGCCAAAGGAGGATGGAAATCACTCGCTTAGTATAAGTGTTAGAATTGTACTTATGCGATTTGGTTTTAAGAAAGAAGTGGCATTTTAAAATTCTCTTTATGTGTAGGCCACAAAGAAGTCCTTGTCATTATTGCAATAAGTAGTTCACATAATTTAAATGATCAAATTCTTCAAGCATATACTTTGGTTTGAAGTATATGCTTGCCACTGGAGTCCTTTTTTTTTTTTTTTTTGAGACGGAATCTGGCTGTGTGTCCCAGGCTGGAGTGCAGTGGTGCGATCTCGGCTCACTGCAAGCTCCGCCTCCCAGGTTCATGCCATTCTCTTGCCTCAGCCTCCTGAGTAGCGGGACTACAGGCACGCGCCACAGCGCTGGCTAATTTTTTGTATTTTTAGTAGAGATGGGATTTCACCATGGTCTCAATCTCCTGACCTTGTGATCCACCCGCCTCGGCCTCCCTGGAGTCCTTTTTCTTGTGTGTGTGTGTGTGATTTTGTTTTTTTTTGTTTGTTTGTTTGTTTTTTGGAGTTCTCTGAAGTCCCTGCATAACCAGTGCCTGGGGTTCTGTGTTTTATAGTAGCTGCTCAGAGACATGCTGTGAAGGAAAGGCACAGATAACAGCAGACCTCCATGTTCCCCTCTCATATTTCTACTCTTGCTTCAGTCATCCTCTTGGAGAATACATGAGTTTTTTATTACTTATTCTCTGAGATTTGACTGTTGAATTATGAAATGCTAATTTCTTAATTATAAGTCTCATGAATATTGCAAAGTAGAATAATTAAATGATTTTGGATGAAATGAATTTTCCTTCCTATGTAATTTCCTGGTCTATCTATTTTTCTAATAATAGATAACCACCTGACCAGGCAACTTGAGTGACATAAAGAATGTAAGAAAACTGCATTAGCGTCATTTGCTTTCATTCTAGAATTCATTTGTTAATTGGAGACTTCGGCTGGTCCGTTTAATAAGATAAACTTTTACCCTTTTATTGACTCAGATTGGAATACATCTGCTTATGCAATTCTGCTCACCTGATTTTTTAGAACCAGACATAAGTTCAGAGGAATCTGTCTCCACTGTAGAAGAACAAGAGAATGAAACTCCACCTGTTACTTCGAGTGAGGCAGAGCAGCCAAAGGGGGAACCTGAGAATGAAGAAAAAGAAGAAAATAAGTCTTTTGAGGAAACCAAAAAGGAGTAAGGAGTTATGTCCTCTTGCTATTTGTATTTGAAGAATGTGTAAAAGGACTTTAGATCAGATTGTTTTAAAGTGTTATAACATTGGCTTATGCTAGGTATTTGCTATTTGGATTTAATTTTTAGAATTACCATTTGAAATAGGTTTATTATATAGTTGTATGACCTGTTAGAATATGCTGTAGTTAGCAGAACACAATGGTTTGAATGATCCAAAAGTCTTTGTCATTGACTTTGGAATATGTTTTTGAGCTTGTAATTTATTGTGGGAGTATCTGATATTTTAAGCATTGGCAGGACTTCAATAAAAAATGAAACATAATTATAAAAATCTGACCTAGAAGACACTTCACTATTTTATTCCTACCTCTGTGCCAGGAGTGGGTTGCTTTTGTGTGCTTATGTTAGAAGGCGTTAGTCTGTATCAAGCTATTGGTTAGTGTGACCTAAAAGTCTATATATGTTTGATGAAGTATTCAGTTGGAGAATTGACTTTGAGAATCTGAAAGTAAAATTTGTTGTTGATATGTATCTATATAAGGTGATGGCAGTTACTTTTTAATTTTTAATTTTTTTTTTTTTTTTGCAGGAGAGCTGGTAGTATTCATTCTACTCTTTTCATAATTGGTCGAACAGTTAGAAATTACTTTTAAATAGAGTCATGCATTGCTTAACAATGAGTATGCATTCTGAGAGATGCATCTTTAGGCGATTTCATCATCGTGCCAACATCATAAAGCGTACTTACACAAACCTACATGGTACAGCCTACTACATAACTAGGCTTTATGGGATAATCTGTTGCTCCTAGGCTGCAAACCTGTACAGCATGCTACTGTACTAAATACTGTAGGCAGTTATAACACAGTGGTAAGTATTTGTGTATTTAAACATAGAAAAGGTACAGTAAAAATATGATATAAAAGATTAAAAAATGGTATACCTTTGTAGGACACCTGCCATGAATTGATCTTAAAAGATTGGTAGTTGTTTGGGTGAGTGAGTGTAAGTGAATGCAAAGGCCTAGGACATTACTGTGTGCAACTGTAGACTCTGTAAACACTGTATTCTTAGGCTACACTAAATTTATAAGCTTTTTTCTATTTTTAAAAGTTTTTATTTTTTAAAACTTTACTAAAAACAAAGACAAAAGCCAGACTCAGTGGCGTACACCTGTAGCCTTAGCTACCTTAGCTACTTAGGAAGCTGAGGTAGGGGGATTGCTTGAGTCCTGAAATTTGAGTCTAGATTGGGCAACATTGGGAGACCTTATATCTATAAAAAAAAACAAAACTAAGACACACACACACACACACCTTAACCTAGGCCTGCACAGGGTCAGGGTCATCAATATCACTGTCTTCCACCTCCACATCTTCCACTGGTAGGCCTTCAGGGGCAGCAACACACATGGACCTGTCATTTCCTATGATAACAGTGCTGTCTTTTGGAATACCTTCTGAAGGACCTGCTTGAGGCTGTTTTACAGTTAATGTTTTTTTTTTAAGGTAGAAAGCATATATACTCTAATGATAAAAAGTAGAGTATACTAAACACATAAACTAGTAACATAGCTGTTTATTATCAAGTATTATGTATAATTGTAATGTGCTTTTTTTGGGGGGGGAGACAGAGTCTTGCTCTGTCACCCAGGCTAGAGTGCAGTGGCGCGATCTCGGCTCATTGCAACCTCCACCTCCCAGGTTCACATGATTCTCCTGCCTCAATCTCCCGAGCAGCTGGGACTACAGGCATGCGCCACCATACCCAGCTAATTTTTGTATTTTTAGGAGAGACGGGGGTTTCACCATGTTGGCCAGAATGGTCTCGATCTCTTGACCTTGTGATCTGCCCACCTTGGCCTCCCAAAGTGCTGGGATTACAGGCATGAGCCAGTGTGCTGTATTTTTATATGACTGGCAGCACAGTAGGTTTGTTTACACCAATGTCTCCACAAACAAGTGAGTAACTTGTTGCGCTGTGATATTACCACCACTATCATGTTAACCAGGTAATAGGAGGTTTTCAGTTCCATTATAATCTTATGGGACGACCATCGTATATGTGGTCTGTTGACCAAAATATTGTTATGCAGCACATGACCATAAAAGAATAACTTAGTAATAACTCTACCTTCTAGCTGTAATATTCAGGGTATTCTTTATCTGAGTTTCATAAGTATAGCTAAGGTCTGTGGAATTTATAGCGACTATCGTGTGTGTGTGTGTGTGTGTTTAATAGAGATGGTATCTCACTATGTTGGCTAGGTTGGGCTTGAACTCCTGGCCTCAAGCAGTCCTCCAACCTTAGCCTCCCAAATTGCTGGGATTACAGGCATGAGCCACTGCACCCAGCCTATCCTCTGTTGTTAAATGTTCTAATGCATCTATTAGGTGCACAGAGCACTATTATATACTCAGAATAAAATTTATATAATTCTTTAAATCTTACAAAGTTGCTTTGATAAACATACTCTTATAATTCTTGCAACACCTTGGGAAGTAGTTGGTTTTATATTACTATTTTATAGCTTAGGAGAAAGACTCACATCATATACTGAGATCATATAGCTAGCTAGTAAATGTTTGAGTGAAAATGCAGACAAAGGTTTTCTGACTTAAGAGCTTGAGTTTTTCCACTATACCATATTGCATCTGTTGTAGTTGCTAACTAATATGCATTTTAAAATTCTCTTTTCTCTTATGTACTGAGCCCTTATACCAGTGCTAATTTATGTGACTCCTCTCTTCTGCACCTAAGAGAAAAATACCTTTTTAATTCATTTATGGTACCCAGTTTTTAAAGAAAGACTTGTTTTGTAAAATTTTGCTTATGGTACATATCACCTTAGCCTGTGAATAAATTAAAGCATTAATTTTTATCCCTCCCTGGTCTTTTCCTCCTTCTGACTTTATATGTCTTTCTAGAGAGTTTATTTTCTATAATAACAATTCTTTGTTTTAAAGTGAGAAAGATCAGTCTAAAGAAAAGGAGAAGAAAGTGAAAAAAACAATTCCTTCCTGGGCTACCCTTTCTGTCAGCCAGCTAGCCAGGGCCCAGAAACAAACACCGATGGCTTCTTCCCCACGTCCCAAGATGGATGCAATCTTAACTGAGGCCATTAAGGCAAGTTTTTATTTCAAGCAATTCATCCTAGATTTATTATGTTCATTTTTTTTCTTATTTGAAAATAGCATATTTCTGTCTAGACATAAATCTTGCTCTGCTTCCTAAAGGAGTTTTAAAGAGAGGACAGTCATTATGAGTTCATGTTTTTCTAATATAATCAGATTTGGTGAACACTTAATTTTTTTAAAAAATATACATTTGCTATAGCAAATATTTTTAACTTTAGAATGTTTAAATTCAGTTTATCGATTAAGTACAGTTTTTATTTGAAGGCTGAAAATGTTAATTCATTGAACAAACATTTAAGGACTACCTTCCCTCTGTCAGGCGTCCCTGCTAGTGGTATAAAATTAACTAAGGCTAGCAAAGTCCTTGCCCTTATTATTCTAATTGTGACTCAGTAACTGAAAAATACTGAGAATTTTTGTTTAAAAAATATCTCTAGGTTCATTTGTAAAGCTAAGTGTCTGATCTTGCTAGTGGATATCTTTCACACCTGAACCCTGTTATAAACACTGCTTTATCACCTAGATATTCCAAAGTGCTTGCAAAAATTATCCTCCTTACAGAGACTTATGATTTGCTATAATCCATTGACTTTCGTTAGATGTGGTTTTTCTATTTTAATTTTTAAAGGTTATCTTCTAATCTGACATTGCCTTTATTGTATAAGTTTTTTCATTTAATTTTGCCTTGTTTAGTTCATATGATCAGATGATAAGAGGAGTTCGAACAGACCCATCTTTCAGGGACCCTGTTGTAAGGATCTGAGGCAGGATTGGAGAGACAGGGATACAGATGATTTTTAACCAGAAAAGGAGGGATGTGTATAAAAAGGAGCAGCCTGGTTGTCATTCTTAGAATGCGAGAAGATAGCACTAACATATAAACTGGAAAACGGGTTTGCCTTCAGACTTGTCCCTTTACTCCTTCAAGACTTCTTATGCTCTCACCTCATTAAGAAAACTTTATTGGTCTAGATCACCTCACTGTAGTGAAATCGCTGTTCTTTGTATAGCCTTTCTTCAAGGATTTCACTTGACCACTCAGCCTGGGTTTGAAGGAGCAGCATCATAGTGAGGATGGAAAAAGGACTAAAACTTTAAAATAGTGAAATAAAAAATTAAAACGATATCAATTTGGCTTAAAGAATGGTTTGAATGTAACTGTGCATATTTATGCAGATGATTGATTTTATATAGATAATGTGTATTCCATGCATTATGGCAAATTATTGCAGACCATGGATACCATTTTCTGTATCAAACAGGAATCATGATACCTACTGCCATCTCACGGTCAGATTGGTGGAGCAAAAGATTATTTGTTTCAGCATTAGTGTTCTTTTCTGCTTGATTTTATTTGCTTTGTGTTTTCTTGTAAGATCAGGAGTAAACCTCAGTAGGTCATTAGTAGTTCAGAGACATAGACTTGAATTACATGACTCATATTAATACAGCTTGTTTCGTGTTGTACAATCTTTTCTGGACCATGTACCTGTGAGTTATTTTTCTTTGTTGTCAAAGTGTTTAAAAACATTCAATGAAGTTCTTATTCAGTGAGAATGAATAAGTGCTACATTCATTTAATAGACACCGTGGCAGTACAAAATTGATGGACTGGCCCATTAGATAAATGACAGATGCTACTTCTGTGTGCTTCAAAATTTAAAGCATTTGATTTCAAGTCAGTGACCAGTTGGAAAACGAAACTTTAAGCATTTGAAAAAATTAAGTATTTGCTGCCTTTGTGACATAATGAGCTACTTCATTCTTCCAGGTGCATTAGTCAAATGGAGTATAAGTAAAATAGGATGGAAATAGAAGAAGGCACACTAAATTCAAATAGAACACCTTCACTGTTAACCAAAATTCTCCTTCAGGACTTTGCCATGTGTAAACCCAGTTTTATGCCATTTGTTTAGATTATCCTTGATTCTTCTCTCTGCTGACATTCATACAGAGCCTTCAGGAAAATGTCCTGGCATGCTCATTCCTTAAGCTCGTGCCTTAAAATGGGCCAGATCTGTGATCCTGTAAGTGATAGGTTTGTTCTGCTTTTCTCATTTTGATGCCAAAGATCCATCTTCTAAATATAGAATGGAATTAAAATGGAAAGAGATTCTTCATTATACATAGAATGTTGTTCATGTTCAGTATGATCTTTTAGGCTGTTTTGAACAATTTAAAATTGTAGTAGAAATATTTAGTAATTCTGTTATTCTCTACAGCCATTATGAACTGAAGTCTTCTGAAGTTCATTTTTCCCTACCATTTTTGTCATCCATTATCAAGTTCACTTCCAAAATAATTTATTTTGAAAATATATGTCAGGCTCTGTATCTAATTTAAAAAAACTGGTTTAATGTATATGGTTTGATAAATCTTTTCTAGGCATGCTTCCAGAAGAGTGGTGCATCAGTGGTTGCTATTCGAAAACACATCATCCATAAGTATCCTTCTCTGGAGCTGGAGAGAAGGGGTTATCTCCTTAAACAAGCACTGAAAAGAGAACTAAATAGAGGCGTCATCAAACAGGTATTACACAATTATTAGTAGTAAGATCATTTCACTGTGTATTAGCTTTAAGTCTACAGTTAGTAACATTTAGGCTTTTTGTGTCTTTTTTGTTAAAAAATAAGTTGCATAATGATGAAATTCCTTAAGTTTAACCTAGTTGAATTATCTGAGGCTAGGTTTCAAAAACATTGGTGCCATTTAAATAGTGTAACTTTTTTCTAGTTTGCTTTGTTCTTAATTGGATTTTTCTTTGGGGGCTGCTTGTGCTTGAAATCATGTAGCACTGAACATGAGAAAGGTTAGGAATCCTACTACTGAAACAGCAAAAATGAGACTAGGCATGGTGGCTTACACCTGTAGTCCCAGCACTTTGGGAGGCTGAGTTGGGAGGATCACTTGAGCCCAGGAGTTCGAGACCAGCCTGGGCAACATAGCAAGACCCCTTCTCTAGAAAAAATACAAAATTAGCAGGATTTGGTGGCATGTGCCACTAGTCCCAGCTACTCTGAAGGCAGAGGCGGGAGGACCACTTGAGCCTGGGAGGTTGAGGCTATCATGAGCTGTGATCTCACCATTCCAGCCTCAGTGAGAGTGAGACCCTGTCTGAAAAAAAAGGAATAACAAAAATGATAATTGCCCTTGTCTTAGGTTTGTTTCCATTCAAGCCTAAATTACATGATAGACTTGTTAGTATTAATTTTTAGCTTCATAAATATGCTCACTTCAACTGATTAGTATCTAAACCATTAAAGCCTATTAGGAGTATCAGAGAAGCCTGAGTGAAATGTGACTAGCAGTAGAACCAATGTTGATTTCAGGCATAAGTCTACTTTACCTTGCATAGTGCATGGAGGCTTAGAACCATAGAAATCTAAAGCTAGAATAAACTTTATAATGTGTTACCCTCTTCAGAGGTCCAGAGTGATGAAATAACTACTAACATCTTAATTTTAAAAACCTAGTTCACCACATTCCTAGAGTCTGGTTACGCTTTTTCTATACCCACTGCCTGTTTGATCAGAATAGAATTCTGTGCCACTCAGGCATTTAAACTCTGCTTAGGAACTTTGAACTAGTACTTAATTTCACAGATATGTCTTGTCTCCTATGTGTCAGTTGCCTGAAGGTCTGTTACTGAATAAAACAGATTGCTGCTGTGTGGAGCTGAGAGTCTAGCTTTCTCAAAATGTAAAACTGATATTTAAATGGCCTTTAAAATTATCACTGATGGCCAGGTGCAATGGCTCATGCCTGTAAGCCGAGGTGGGAGGGTTGCTTCAGGCCAGGAGTTTGAGACCATCCTGGGCAACATAGCAAGGTGAGACCCTGTCTCCACAAAAAAAATTATTTCTGTATTCTATTTTACTTTTTGAGACAGAATCTCACTCTGGCCCAGGCTGGAGTGCAGAGGTGCAGTCTTGGCTTACTGCACTCTCTACCTGCTGGACTCCAGCAGTCCTCCCACCTCAGCCTCCTGAGTACCTGGGACTATAGGTGTGCACCACCACACCCAGATAATTTTTGTATTCTTTGTAGAGACAAGGTTTTGCCATGTTGCCCAGGCTGGTCTCAAGCTCCTGGGCCCAAGTGATTCACCCACCTCAGTCTCCCAAAGTGCTGGGATTACAGACGTGAGCCACTATGCCCAGCTTTTACAAAAAATTTGAAAATTAGCCAGATGTAGGGGTGCATGCCTGTACTCCCAACTCAAGAGGCTGAGGCAGGAAGATTGCTTGAGTCTGCAGTGAGCTATGATTGTGCCACTGCACTCCAGCATGGGTGACAGAGTGAGACCCTGTCTCTAAAATAAAACAGAATGATCATTGACTAAAAGGTCTTAACCTAGTTAATATGATTATTAGAGCCAAGGACCTGTTGTGTAACATAGTATATGTCAGCAAAGCTTATGTGATGGCTTCATGTTTTAGTTTATGACCTGCTGTAGCCTACGTAGCCTGACCACCCTTGGTTGATGCCTAAACAACTCTTAGTAGGCTAAAAGCATTCCAGCTCGATTGCTCATTGATAGCAGTGTAGGTAAAACTAAGGTGTGGAAGACTTTAATTATTGTGAATCAACCTTTTTTTTTGAGATGGAGTCTTGCTCTGTTACACAGTGGCACAGTCTCAGCTCACTGCACGATCTCAGCTCACTGCACCCTCTGCCTCCCATGTTCAAGCAATTCTCCTGCCTTAGCCTCCTGAGTAGCTGGGTTTACAGGCACCCGCCACCACACCCAACTAATTTTTGTATTTTTAGTGGAGACAGGATTTCACCAAGTTGGCCAGGCTGATCTCAAACTCTTGACCTCAAGTGATCTGTCCACCTCGGCCTCCCAAAGTGCTGGGATTATAGGAATGAACCACCATGCCTGGCCTATTGTGAATCAACTTTAAAATTTTATGAAAGTGCTTTGTGAACTGGAAATACGTGGTAAAACTTAGCATTGTGTGCAGTGGCTAAAAAATTTTTTTTTTTTGAGATGGAGTCTCGCTCTGTCACCCAGGCTATAGTGCACTGGTGTGATCTCAGCTCACTGCAAGCTCCGCCTCCCGGGTTCACACTATTCTCCTGCCTCAGCCTCCTGAGTAGCTGGGATTATAGGTGCCCGCCACCACATCCGGCTAATTTTTTGTATTTTTAGTAGAGATGGGGTTTCACTTTGTTAGCCAGGATGGTCTGGTTCTCCTGACCTCGTGATCCACCCACCTTGGCCTCCCAAAGTGCTGGGATTACAGGCATGAGCCACCGTGCCCAGCCAAAAAATTGTTAGATAACCCTTCCCATAAGGAATAATGTATTGTTGGTAAACTATGGGAAGTTATGTGGCCTGAGACTAATTAGGGTCTAAACTTTTTCCAAGGAGCTTTTAAGATAGTGAGGGCTTTTCTTATTTTCCATAAGAGATTATGTCCCTTCCTTCTGTGGGATATTTTTATTTTGCTTTTTTATTTCGTTTTGAAAGTTTTTAATAGACGGTTTAACCTAGTATCACAGTAGCATTCTTCTCAAAATTTTGTAGATGAGAAAACAAAAGCTCAGAGGGTTAACTGGGTTGTACAGTATTACTCAACATCAGCTAGATGGTACGTAAAGGAACTTTCATCTGAAGTCTTTTGACTTTTCATTGACTGTTTTTTTTTTCTTTGAAGAAGTAAACACCACTTTACATTAGCTCTTACATTACCATGCCCTGTAATTTCCTTAGCCTAATGTAAAGTTATGAATACTAGAATAACAAAAATTAATTTACTTTAGGTTAAAGGAAAAGGTGCTTCTGGAAGTTTTGTTGTGGTTCAGAAATCAAGAAAAACACCTCAAAAATCCAGAAACAGAAAGGTAAGACAATGTATACCACAGTTTGAGTGCTGTGGAGCTGTTACTGCTACCAAAACTAGCAACATTCATTGAGTGTTTGCTGTGTGCCTGGCAGTATGCAAAGTTCAGCCTTTCTGCTAAAGTCTAGGGAAGTTACAAATAGTTTGTTCATCTAGTGAGTAGAATAGCCAGGATGCAGATCCAAGCAGTCCAGCCTGGTTAAGTCTATGCTCTTAAGTGCCTTACATTAAATTATGGGCAGCTATATGAATTATACTGCTTTTTGTTTTGAGATGGAGTCTTGCTCTGTTGCCCATGCTAGAGTGCAGTGGCGTGATCTCAGCTAGCTGCAGCCTCCACCTCCTGGGTTCAAGCAATTCTCCTGCCTCAGCCTCCTGAGTAGCTGGGATTACAGGCACTCACCACAATGCCCGGCTAATTGTTTTATATTTTTTAGTAGAGATGGAGTTTCACCATGTTGGCCAGGCTGGTCTTGAACTCCTGACCTCAAGTGATCTGCCCACCTCGGCCTCCCAAAGTGCTGAGATTACAGGGTGAGCCACCGCGCCCAGCTGAATTATACTGCTTTTTGTGAAGTATCTTTAAACTAGAGAAGATACAGGAGTTTTTTTGTTTTTGTTTTTTTTAAGATGGAGAGTCTTGCTCTATTGCCCAGGCTGGAGTGCAGTGGCACGATCTTGGCTCTCTGCAACCTCCGCCTCCAGGATTTAAGCAATTCTCCTGCCTCAGCCTCCCCAGTAGCTGGGACTACTACAGGCATGTGCCACCATGCCCAGCTAATGTTTGTATTTGTAGTAGAGACAGAGTTTCACTACGTTGGCCAGGCTGGCCTCCAACTCCTGACCTCAGGTGATCTGCCTGCCTCGGCCTCCCAGCATGCTGGGACTATAGACGTGAGCCACTGTGCCTGGCCTAAAAGTGCATTTTTACTGAATACTAGACCCCAAAACTACCCAGATCCAATTTTTCTTCCGGTTTTTGTAAATACTAATATTCTTCTCCCCAACACATATCATTTGTGTAAAGTATTTCTGCAGTAATAAAGTGAAATGTCTTGTACTCATTTATATCAGAAATTGAAATAATGTTTTTCTAAACTTTTTTTTTTTTTTTTTTACGACTCTGAAGCTTTTTATCCTTTTTTCATAGAGTTTTCAAACACTTTCAAAATGAACTTTATGCATTACTTTTTGGTGCTGCACTTCATAAATTAGGACCTTTAAAGTCTACACTCTTTTTTACTTTTATGTGTTTTTTTTTGTTTTTTGAGACGGAGTTTTGCTCTTGTTGCTCAGGCTGGAGTGCGATGGCGCAATCTCAGCTCTCTGCAACCTCCGCCTCCCGGGTTCAAGTGATTTTCCTGCCTCAGCCTCCCGAGTAAATGAGATTGCAGGTGCATGCCACCAGTCCTGGCTAATTGTGTATTTTTATTAGAGACGGGTTTACCACGTTGGTCAGGCTGGTCTCGAACTTGTGACCTCAGGTGATCAGCCCACCTCAGCACCCCAAAGTGCTGGGATTACAGGCATGAGCCACCACGCCCGGCTGTTTTCTTGTTTTGTTGTTTTTTTTTGTTTTTTTGTTTTTTGAGACGGAGTCTCACTTGTCACCCAGGCTGGAGTGTGGTGGCTCTGTCTGCATCACTGTAAT